ACATGGAATTCTGGGTGGTAAAAACTGGAACACCAGCCTTATTCAGGTGTTATCTCTAATGAGACAAAGACCACTAGCAAATGTAACGGGGGGACAAAACTACTGACTACCTTTGAGCATTGTGATTTTTATTATCAATCCTTCTTAAACCTTCTCTATATTGGTACATATTTTTTTTTTAAAAAGGACCCTTCAGATGTAAAGGGCTAGACCTATATTTTATAGAGCAATTAACACAAAATGGGTAATGTGGTCAGCATCACGCCGGCCACCTTTACTTCCCGGGACTGCACCCGGTACCCACTCAAGGCTGGGTCGAGTTTATTTTTGCGAAGAAAAAAAAGCCTGGTTCCACCAGGGAGCGACCCCACGGCATTCCGATCCGTGACGAGCATCTAGCCGCTCCGTCACGGTGATGTCCATTAGTATATATGCTGCACAATTATCATGTTCCCTGGCAGATGGTTCAGACTTTTAGTTTATTAGTCATCTCAGCATGCACCGGCGTTCAACTTGTGCGAGACCTTCTGGCTGTTTGCTTCCAGATGTTGGTCTTGTTTCAGAACTTGAGCATTGCATCTATATCCATTTGACAGATCTAGCTTAATTATATGCAGACTGTTGGTTCCTCACCTCTATTCTGACTTTGAAGGAAACCAATCCCCTCTTACAACATGTTGTCCTTCAGAAGGGAGACCAGGAACCCACATACGAAATGGTTTCAAGTTTATCTTCATAGATATTGATCTTTGTATCAATTTTATTGACATTTTCTCTCACCACATTCTCCAGTGCCTTATTTCATTATAGGACTAAAAATAAAATAAAATGCTCCCTTTTTAAAATTTCCACAGCAATGGTTGACTTGCATTATACATCATATTTGTTAGGTAGCTGATTTTGTTGTCAATGGTTAGGATAGAAATAAGAATGCTATCAGGACGAGATACTAAAAACCAGCACTTCCTTGTGTGCTATGCCTCCATAACTGCCGCTTAACCGTTGCTGCTTTAGGGACTTGATTACAAGAACCCTTGCTGACAGCATTAATTCTATTTGCAAACTGGCAAACGTTTAATAGATCTGCCACTGGCTAGTTACTTAATAAAAAAAAAAAAAAAAAAAAAAAAAAAAGCATTTGTAGACGTTTTCTTTTATTTATAGAAATTACTTAATGAATTTATTGGATCACATGGCAACAAATAATCATGGCATTATTATTTTAACCAGAGGGCCGTGTAACCCAGTTGATTCTCTGCTGCACTCATTTTTACAGTACTCAAATTTCATAAATGCCTAATTTTTTTGCTTATGTCTGAAAATGGAATTACTGTAAATTATTAACCCTTTAGCTGCAAGATCCACTTCCACAAATTACAGGTATGTTATTTCTTCTGGGCGAAAAGGGTAAGGAGTAACGTCATATAAGTTTTAGAGCGATAAACACTCAATGCGATTTTCTACCAATACCCCCCCCCCCCCCCCCCCAAATAACTATCTGGGTGAAAATTCAACAAGTACAAATGGAGTACAAATATAGGAAACCCCCCCCCCCCCCCCCCCCCCCCACTTTCAACTGCAAAAGTTATATTACTACACCCTATAGTCAAATGCCTGAAGTTTTTGTTTCCGATACACACTTGCAGTGACCCACAGCATGCCATTCATACCTCACTAGTCTCCACTATGAATTATCACATCACAGCATCACTGTAAACTCATCTTGTTTTCAGTATATTTTCTGTTTTATACTCCTGAAGTCATTTTTAACAAAATCAAGTTGTCAACTGAATTTATCTTATTATAAAAAAAAGATAGTCTGATTAAACATGCATCAAGAGTTTTACTATGTCATATTTTTAACAACAAACAACATTTGAAGAAAGGGAAAAAAAAACCAAGTGAAAGTCACAGCACACCTCATATAACAAACAATACATCCACGCTCAAAGATCCAAGACTTCATATTATTTATATATGGTAATTTAATTATAGACAATTAAATAAAACAAGTTTAAAAGCATGGTTTAAAACTACAGACAAGGAAAAAGTGCATCACAAAGAATGAAACCTACAATAACAAAGTTACCGTAGTTGATTATTAAATTTTAAAATCAAATATATCCCCCCAATATAATCTGAGCTAATGCAAATCTAAACTAAGTATGCGTTGCAAATGCAAGAACATATGAAATGGAATTTTTCGAACGAAAAGTCAAAGCCAAAATATCTCTTTGGCCGCAGACTTCATTATCATTAGAATATGTACAGTTGTCAATCACTTGGTATTAAAACAGAAAAAAAAAACAACTGTGTTTGGCAACACATTCACCTTTGATTCAGCAAATCAACCTCAGCCAACCATTATATGTCACATAGGGCTCTTCCAATCCGTTCTATTTCATAGATGGAATATCGTCCAGCAACCCTAGCTTCCCTCATCAAAGTTTATTTTAGGGTTTCTTCTAGATGTCCCCGCTTCCTCAACCTTTTTTTTCCTATTTCTACATAACATTTATGTATGGTATACAAAGTCTAGGAAAAAAAATACATTATACTAATCAGTGATTTTTCTTCTATGCTGTTTGCAGAATCAGAGCCTTTTATAATGCAGTAGATTTTTTCAGCGCTGCTGTAACAGATACTATGTGGTGAATATCAGCAACTTTCTTTTTAGAGAGAAAAAAGCATCCGTTATAGTTCATTACAGCTGCTACATGGAAAACTAACATTCATCAACCGGGCTCTGCTCTAAATAAAAGTATTTGAGTTGAATGATATAATTACTCACAATGAGCTTTGTTTAAAATTACAGTGAATCAAGAGATTAGAAAAAGAAGCTAGCAGTAGACAAGACACACTGAAAAACAATATAATTACAATATCCATGCGCAGATGAAAATCAGTGTCAATGGATAAAATACCAAAATATACACAGAGAAGAGGGTGGAGGGGAAAAGACGTAGGATATGAGGTGAGCAAAACTAGATGTGGTGTTGTAACCAGCCTCTGATAAGTTTTTATTACTGTCAAATATTAAGTATTCATATTAGGGAAGGTGCGACAAAAGAACATTGTAGTAGTTACATATCACCAAAAGAAAAAGGATCATTAAATTGATCAGGAAATCATTAGTCCCAGCACAAGAAAACTATTTTATTATGGACAGATCAGAACAAGTCATTATCCTCCGCCTCAGAACAGGGCACAACCAATTACCTAACCACATGTACACAAAATTCAAGATAGGCGTATCAGCTGTGTGCACGCGTGGAAAGGTGCTCCAGACAGTGGAAAATGTACTTCAGGGCTGCACCGAATTTGATGACAAATTAAGGCAAACCTTTTGGCCAGAAAGAACAACAGTGAAATTTATACAAGAGAAAAAATTGCTAATGTAGACAACTCATTTCAGGCGAATGAAAGAAAAGATAGAACAACAGCCAAGTCAATATCACGCTTCACCAACAAAAGTTAAACAAGACACTCAGTTACAAAAAAAAACCAAATGAGTGATGCAATCTTTATCTGGTGATCCAGCCTAGTCACACATCTGAAAAGAAAATGCATGTAAAACATGCCTTGAAGCCATTCAATTAAACTGCCGCATAACAACTGCACATAACTGTTAAATGAATGAAAAGCAATGTTTAATCTAATTCTCTTCACCATTTCTTAATAATGCAATTCTTCCTTTATTCGCACAAAATGTTGGCAACCATAACTCAAACAATATATCACAAATTTTAAACTAACCTTAGCTCAACATATAGAAAACAAAGCATTCAGGAGTCAACTATCTCCTACCATTATCCTAAAGGAGACATTACATGAATATGAAGCATTTACTAATGTAACAAACTGATTACAGGTACCTATTACACCTAGGAACCAGTGCTGGCAGACACACATCAGTTCAAGCTCAAACATATTTAACATATTTCTCATAAATATAATCAGAAGTGAGAATGGACCACCAAGCACCATCATGAGACACACAGACTGATGCTCGGGACTGCTGTGAATTATGACTGATAACAAGTGCATTAAAGCGATTTTTAAATCAGTCAGGAATTATAACCTTGCCAAGGATTGTAGATACTGAAAAGGCCGACACTGATGTAAGGTTATAAACAAAAATACCTATTGTTTTTGTGACACTTTTAATGAGGTTGTCTGCAATTTTCTTGTAACACTTAAGAAATTTCACCCCAAAACGTTTACATAAGAAATAATACATTCTGGGCGCAAATAGACTCCTCACTGTTTAAAAAAAAAATGAAGGACAAATGTAGGAACCCAACATGCTTGTTCATAAAATTTACCCCCCACCCCCAATTTAAACATGTACAGGTGTTATTTCAGTTTTAAATAGCTGTTAACTGCTGAAATCAGATGCAATATAAATGCTTCAAATACAATGATGCTGGTGTCCTACAACCATTGTTTAAAGTGATAAGTAATAGTGAAGGCACTTCACTTCAGTCTCAGAATATAATGCAAGAGAAAGAATGTGCTACCAACTTCATGCTTTAAACACCCCAAACACATTTAGGACAATGCAATCTATAAATAAACAACTGACCCCATATACTTTTCCCCTTTCTTTGTTATGACTTAGTGCTCAAGGCAAATGTATTGGTCCACTCTTGAATCTGACAGAAATCCGGTTTATATTCTACTGCAAGGGAACTAGTTTTCATTGATACGCGAGATATTTGATGAATGTATGCATCCCTGCATATTTCGTTTTGCCCAGCACCTACATCTCAACAGATGAACGTTAACTTGGTTATCTGCACATGAGAACACAGGGACTATATAATAGCATATTACACTGCATAGGAGCACCAGATCATACACAGACCACAACCCTATATGCACCTGCAAGTCAAAGAATAAAAGACTCCAATTATCTTCAAAATGCAAGCAATGAGTTCAGGGCTGAGAGAAGGGCTTGGCGTTCCACATCACAGCATTGACAGGCCACAGGCATTAACTTATTCAATTATTTTAAGCACCTTTCCGATTGCGATGGTTCTATCTGAAAACAGAATTCAAGTACACATTTGTTAGTAATGGTTTCTTTTTTTTAATTGACTTTAAAAATTTAATTAAAGATCAGATTTAATGCACTATATCAGGGCTTAACAACTGGTAGCCCGCTGGCCACTGCCAGCTATAATGTATGACGATTCTTCTTTTTCTCTCTTATCCTTTTCCCCTCAAAATGTAGCTGAATGGCCTTGCACTATATAATGTCCCATATGGCTCAGTCTCTTTTTACAGAAAGCGGCTGTCTGACCGTCACATAGCTTGGCTTCAGGGATGAAAACCTGCAACTGTGAATCTAGGGACAGAACCCCAAAATAAACCTGTTACCATTACATCCTAAACACTTGGGCAAATAAGCCATTTGTAAAACAGATGTGCAGATGAAACTAAAGAACAAGACTAAAGTCCCTGTCAGAACTGACAAAACAACCAAAAAAGTTTTCTGGCGTTTACAGCAGGCGAACACACACACAAACACAGAAGAAATAAGAAGAGTATGCTGAATAAAAATGCCACAGAATTTATTGTCCCCATATAAAAGTAAGACAGGGATAACTTTGATCATCCTTGGCTATGTACCATATTGGTGCAAAAATATGTCCGGAGAAGCCAAAAAAAATTTTTGCATGATTAGCAAACTGACTGAAAACTTCCAAAACCCGTGGCAAACAGTCTGTAAATTTATCCTTACGATCCCAACATGAATGGGTTCAAGCCCTGCTGAAGACTGGTTTGCAGTGATCTAGACAAAAGCAAACTACTGACCAAATACCTGTCCCAGTTAAACCACAAAACAGCCAATAAATTCTATTAACATGGACACTTACTTTCATCTCTCAGCGTGAAGCGTCCCATTTGTGGAAAATCCTTAAATGTCTCTAAGCAGATAATGCCATCGTTGACCTCTAGTCTAGCAATACCCGCTTGGTCTGGCTTGATAAACCGTGGTCTCAGTTGTGTTTTATCTCCTGTCTTCTTATCTACCAAACACAGCAAGGCCTATGAAAAGAATCAACTCACATTTATATGGTTCACTTGCAGTCAAATGTCATTTTCATACTTGGCTTATGTGCATCCAATCAAATGATGGCAGAAAAGAAACAAGTCAAGGGTATAGGAATAGCAACAAACAAATAATTTACAAAAATTTAAAATTATTAACATCTAAAAAAAAACAATAAAAATGATAATCATGAAATGTTATGCATACAAAACTCTAATGTATGGCGCAGAAACACGGATGGATAAAAATAATCAAAAAGAAAATCAAACGGTCTCTGGAGATGTAGAAAAGAAACCACAGAACAAAAACAATCAAATATAGAGGGTTCAAAGGTACTAGCAATGAATAGGAGAGCAGCAAAAGAAAATATAAATGAGACTTAAAATATTTTAGCCACATTAAAGACAAGTGTCAAAGACCATGCCGGGCAGTGGTGGAAGGCAAGTAAGAGGCAGACAGTGATTACAAAGATATTTACGCTGACATTTTCAAAGATATCTAGACTGTACCAGAATTTTGTGCATCTCAGATTAAGTTTTCCCCACGAAATGTAAGACAGGGATAACTATGTATCATCATCTTGGCAATAAAACAATATTAACAGTAATAATGAGACAGACTGCAGTCAACCTTCATTGTGGAACAGCATTTGACTGATATATTCACCTTAACTTCACATTAGTCTGATGTTTTTCATGAGCCATTACCGCACAATGTGTCTACAAAATTCTAACAAGTACTAGGACCTGCACTTAAAAAACAACCATGTAATAGTCTAGTCATAACAGAGATATGGCATCAGTTATGATGATTATACAGCACACTGATAAACTGCCATTTGATTCAGAAAACCCCTGTGATAAACCTGATACCAGATGGCTTGATTTCAACAACACATAACTAGATGGGTCTACACTGGAACCCACAGAGCAGAGAAGTGTTCCATCTTCAAGAATACACAATAATCACAGTACCAACTTAACATTGTCATTTCCATACATATGTAAAAACTACAAGTGTGGTTTCCAGGGCCCCATGAAAAGAGGTAAGAGTCGACTAATTGGGGGTCTCCTTCAAAGTTGGAGTAAATCTGACTGAGAGGTAAGGAACCAACAATCTGCACACAAATGAGTCAAATCTGTAAAAATGGATGCACACACAAAACCCAGGTTCTGGAACAGGACTGCAGTCCAGAAGTGGATGAACAGCCAGAACAGAAAAGCATCTGTTTCACTTAAGAAGTTTCCTACTGCTGACACAGTATGTTTACATGATTTTGAACTGGCTACCTTCCCTCGTCTTTAAAACCCACCATCACATTTTGATCTAATCTTACTAAATACACAAAAGCAAAGATTACCTTCAGAGTGACTTCCTCAACGCATGTATGGATGTGTATTACGCAGCTATATCCTGCTGTGATGATCGACTTGTATTCTAATATTACTATCTGAAATGGCACAATAAAATGAGATTGCTAATCAATGGTAAAATCTCTCTCTAAACCAGTTGTTCTCAACCTTACTAATGCTGTGACCCTTTGACCCTTTCCTACGTTTCACGTGATGTGGTGATCCCCGGCCATAAAATTATTTTCATTGCTACTTCAGTGATTAGGTGTCTTCCTATGTTCTTAGGCGATCCCTATGAAACGGTTGTTGGACCTTCAGGTTGAGAACCACTGCTCTTACATCTACAACGTACCACCAAACAATAATGCAGATTAGAAGACATATGCAACATTAACAAGATGGAAGGTCTTCATTCTCCCTTACAAGGGTAGTTTGCTAATTGCACTGTAATTTAATTACAGCTAGGCTGCAAAATCTGCATCTTCTGGCCCAACAGATTTTAGCAAGTCCACATATATTTATATTCAGATGTTTTTTTTAAAATGCTTGTTAAGGGCAGCTGGTCTTTAGGAGTCCTAGAACCCACATGCAGGAAGTGTAAAGTACATGTTACGAATTGTGGTAAAGAAATGACAGGCAGACACAGTTCTACTGTTACCACTCTAAAAAAAATCTTAAACATTCTTTGTTGCCAGTTAAGCTGGTCATGTTAATTAAATACGGTTAAAGAGCCAACAAATTTAACAAAATGCCTCAGAATTTATTGTCCCCATTTAAATGTAAGACAGGGATAACTTGGATCATCCTTGGCAATATTTTTTAATTAACAATGATACAAACTTAGGGATGGTCAATAAAAACCTAAAGTAATCGCTGCCAAGCTCAAAGGCCTGAAGTTTATGGATTGTGAAAGAATTTTCACAACCCTATTTTACCAGGGTTGAAAGTCAGCTAAAGACTTTGGTATCGGACTATTTCACTGCGATTTTGACACTGGTAGGAGCTTTGTACCGTCCAAAAAGATATGGCAAACATAAGGATACGGTTAGTAAAAGAATCAGATGTCAACAACTTGTATTTGCATTTTAACTCTTCACTTGTTACTGCGGAAGGAGCCTGTGTGTGAATGTCCCAAGTACAATGATGTCAATGCCTGATTCATTTATTACAAGTTAGAATATCATGTGAGGCCCAAAGTATTTTTAATTAATCACACTCAGCTGGGAGTTAGGTCAATATCATGCCACGCAAAACTGATTTGGATATAACATTATAAGGTTGGGTCAACTCAGCAACACCATAATATAACTAGATGGGTTTACATTGGAACCCACAGAGCAGAGAAATAATCGCAGACTCAAGAAAAAGCAAACTAAAGGGTAAAGTTAAAAAGATAGGGTAAGCTGCATCTGTTAGGAGTTGGGTAAGAACACATGATCCACTAGGAGGGGATTTTACCACAAGGGCTAGCTGGGGAGATCACATGGCTAGGGCTTACACCGGTTAGATTTTTCCAGTAAAACCAGTCATCATCTTCTTTATATTCACCGGCTTTAAATTACAACATAAAGTTTTGGTTGTTCATCCAAACCCATGAAATTTAGTCTTGTTCCAGAATCTGATTTTTGCATGCACATCTGTTTTACAGAACTGACTTTTTTGTATGTAGACTGTTGGGTTCCTTGCCTCTCTGGCAGAAGCCCTCTTGACTTCTAGGTGAGCCCCCAATTAGCTGACTTACACATACCAGTCATGACCCAGCCACGTCTAATATACCTTTCTGTAGATGCTAAGCTGAAATAGTTTTAGACATTCTGCCATAGCACGTTTTCATGTAGAGGCTTTAAAGGACCTTGTTAGACTTCAGTGATTCAGTTCTATACGTCTTTAATAAATGTAGAAGCAGAAGGCCAGTGGAAAAAGTAATAATGGTCATAAATGTTTTTTTTAAACCACGCCCCCCCCAAAAAATACAAATAAATGTTACCTGTGCATCAAAAACCCTTCCAGTGTTGCATACATTATCTGGTGAGCACAATACGAAACCTGGCGATACATCCTGGGAAAGAGAAATTAGTTTAGACAGACAGTGGATTCTATAATTCATTGGTTCTCATGTTATATATTCAACAATATGTGGATACAATTTTTTGCTTTTTCTTGTTTTCCACCTCGTACCTCAGTGCAATGCACTATTAAGACTGATGTTCATTTCTGTTAGGCCGTTCTATATTTTCCAAAGTCTTTTGCTCACTCTATACCCGTTGTAATGTTTTTTGTGTGGCTTGCTGTGGCAGATAGTACTAGGGAATTTTTGTTAGGTGTCTAAACCACTTCAATTATTGTTCTTTGATGAGCTCTGTCAAAAGCAATATTAAGACTGCTGTTCATTTCTGTAAGGCTGTTCTTAATGCCATCACTCCATCTTTTCCGAGGTCTTCTGCTCGCTCTATACCCGTAACGCTTTAGTGTCAGATAGTACCAGGGCATTCTTGTTAGGTGTCTAAACCCCTTCATTTGTTGTTCTTTGGTGACTGGCTTTATTCCTATCATTTATCTGATTTCATATTCTGTCTTTCCTTGAAACTCCCGCAGCTCTTCTAAGGCATTTTATCTCTGCTGTTACAATTTTACATTCATTAGAGGATGTAAGTGTCCACGTTTTTCACTGATAGCACAGTGCCAGCAAAAAAATAGTTCTGATAACATTCACTTTAGTACTCCAGGGTATCTGCTGTGTCAACAGGGAAGATTTCTGTCAGATGTGAAAATTGCTCCCATATACTTAAATTCCTCTGTCTTAAGGTGTTTTTTAAAATTGTATTTCTAAATTGCATTTTTTTGGCTACTAAGCCAATATCCAAACAATAAAAATAATGTGCCGTATGCTATTTATCCAGAACAATTACAATACAATGTGTATTAACCTGTTAACAAAAATTAGGATAGGGACAGCAAATATCTCTGGAAAGGAAAGCTAAATACCTCTTCCTCAACCCCGCTAATCTTTAACCGGACATTCTCCCCCGGCATAGCATCCTCACTGTCCTCTTCGTCAGACACAATGTTCATCACTTTTACAACTGCCTGAAAACAAAATCATACATGAGTTATAACGCAATAAACGCAATGATTGTACTTAGCAAAAAATAAATGAAACATGCCTTAGATTATTTGTTTCTTCTTCAGCGATCTCTGGTCATGCGCATAATCCACTGTGGGTCATAAACTAGGATGTCTTTTCAAGGTCTCTTAGGTTTCCCCAAAGCTTAGTTGTCAGTTCTACTGGGTGTTGCCATATGTCGCTCCGCAGCTCCGCCAGGAGAGGACAGTCTTGCAGGACATGTTCTGGAGTCTGTTCAGCACGAAGGCACCGGCAGAGAGCTGTTTGGCTCATACCTAATTTATGTGAGTGTTTATTGAGTCTGCAGTGTCCAGTGCGTAAGCGAAAAACTGTGACTTGGTCTGTTCTGTTCAAGTGTTTCAGAAAATCTTTTTCGTAGTTATAACCAGTGTTGGTTTTCCAATCTGTTTCTGATTTTCTCTAATGAGAGTTTTGACTTCTGGAAAAGATGGTGGCTGGTAGGTCTGTGGTTTGTTATTTGTTTAAATCCCCATGTATGATGTAAGACAGGGATTACTATATCTCATCAAGTGAACATTAAATGTGGATTTTTAAAAAGAAAATAGATTACTGCAGCATTACAACAGGAAAAAAAACTTAAAACACTAAACAATAAATAAGAAGAAGCAAACAAAGAGAAAGAGCTAGAAATCACATATAAAAGAAATATCCTAGCATAATTTACAAGGAAAAAACTTTTCCATACTTTCAATTAAGTCAATGTTAATGACATTTTGATGAGTAATATTTCAGATTATACTTTCTCCATATCAATGTGTAAGACAGGGATAACTATATATCATCACAAATATTGCACCAATCGCAATGATCTAATAACGCGTTCAAAATGAACACTTAACACAACATGAAAATTGAAGTCTCCAGTCTTATGTGGAAGTACATCTGGATGCTACTGTTAGAATACAGGTTCAACTCATAAAACATCTTATCGCTCTAAGGCAGAACACCAGGCCAATAAAAGTATTACAGTTCTAAGAGTACAGAAGGGACGACAGCAGACTACATAAAAAAGTTTTACATTTAGTATTTAGCTACAATACTGAAACAACGATATCTACAATGATATCTAGACTGCACCAGAATAAAATGCATCTCAGATTAGGTTTTCCCCATGAAATGTAAGACAGGGATAACTATGTCATCATTTTGGCAATAAAATAATATTAACAGCAATACTTATTATTTTGTTATATTAGATGCTTAAATATACACTGCTGTTACCATGGCTTTATTTAAAAATTTATAAATTAACGTCATATTTAATAAATTTATCTAAAGCTTTGCCCTACAGGGGGAAAAAAAAATAGAACAGGTATGCTCTTAAATGATACACCCCACACATCATCTGAAGTCAGCAGGATTAAAATATACCCATTCAATATAACATTATTAATTAGTTATATGGGTATGTTTGAGTGAGTGTGTGAGAGAGAGAGAGAGGGGGAAAGACGGGGGGGGGGGGGGGGGGGGGAATAGAGTGGGTCTATCCACCACCTATATGGATCTATAGATCCCACACTGGGATCAACCAAGTGTTTCATGCAGTGACAGATGGACAAGGGGCAATGAAAGACAGACAGACAGAGACAGCAAGCCTGGTGTGAAGCAAGTACATGATAATACTACATAATAGCAGATACTAAAAATATGCAATGAAAATTTAAGGAAACATGAAAAGATAGAAAAAATTTCAGACTAAGTTTTCCCCACATCAATTTGTAAGACAGGGATAACTATGTATCATCATTTTATGACAGTAGCATCAATACGCACACCCATCAACCTGGGGACAAAAATAACTTGTTTCTAAATATAAAAAAACTGATCAAAATAAACCCAAAACTGATGCTGAGAATTTCTTCTATGATAACACAAAAACAGGTTTAGATAATGCAGCCATGCAGTATACTCAATGGGCTGCCATTTTAAAGAAGAACATCAAGAATATACCAATTGGTTCTTGGTGGCTGATATGGTCAACCATTAAGCCAGCTGCCTCTACCTCATAGGTCATAGCCAGGTAGGTTCCTGTTTTAATCTGTTACAACTATACAAAAAGATGCAAATTCTAATGTAACATTTCAGACTAGTAGGCGAATGCCCAGTCACTACATTACTTTAACCCTGACAATAAATACAGCTTTGACGACATGTAGTTCCTATAAGCGACAGCATTATGTTAACATTTCTTATGGTACTATCACTTTGTGACCAATTCATACACATAAAATTGCTACATTTATACAATGACAAACCAATAACATACACAAAAAATTGTGAAATTTGCTTCAGATTATAATTTCCCCACATCAATGTGTAAGACAGGGATAACTACATATCATCATCTATATCAGTGTTTTTCAACATTCAAACACGCTGTATGGCTAAAAGAGGGTAATTGTTCGGTGGACTTCCTGACAGCCAACAACAAACAGAATACCACACCCCCACCCCCGTTTGTTGAATCTGATGTCTGATGTGACTGTGACATCTGCAACAGCCTAACAGTTCAAAAATGTATCCAGCAATCTAGTGCTGAAATCATGCAGCCACTACATTAGATACACTTTTGGCAGACCATAAGTACATTTTTGTAGGCTACAGGTTGAAAATCCTGTTCTAAATACCACTAAAACACAGACTGCAAAAGCTGCTTCAGTAAGTATCACAAAAACAAAAACAAAAAAATATTACTAAACACTCACCTTATTTGGCATCATGACAAGTTTTTGATTTGCTGTGACCACACCTGATTCTATTTTGCCCAAAATAATGGTACCCATATCCTAGGAAAACAAGAAAAACTGTCAATGTGTAGTCGAATGCAACCATGGTCATACAAATAAAAAAAAGTGGTTATGTCCAAGCGTGACTAAAAACATTACAGAATTTAGGTTACTAGAACTAACTGATTCATCACATCTATACCCAGCCCATGATAAAGTAAGCTCAATAAACAACACATCTCAGTTGACGATTAAGCGAGTATCTAAAGGACACCGGAAAAGTATTGATCACATAGTGGCTAGACAATCACCTTTACTTCTTTTACTAAATGACACTAGATAATGTCTTGGCAGAACTGGCATATCATCCCAATGTTGGAACTTAGCTGCTAGTTAACACCAGAATTTATGTTACACTATATAAAACCACTCAACAACAGCACGTATGCGTGGGGTAAGAATTTGCATACAAAAATTACAATGAAACTATTTAAGAGTGTACCCATCGAAGTCGTAGTGCATCTGCCTAAGAGGCAAGGAAACTAGTCTGGATTCAAACAATCCAGATATGTTAAATGGATATGCATGCACACATGTTCTGGGTCAGGACCAGAGTCCAAAAGTGGACAAACAACCAGACCCATTGAACGCTAAAAAAGGGATACAAAGTCAGGGCCATTACATATGACAAAAATATATCTTATTTCAGCAACAGCAAACCCATCTAAGCCAATAACCCCAATACATTAGAAACTGCTAATAACCTGTACACGCTAGGACTGAGCATCAACTGGAGTGCCAGAATGACAATAAACAATGTCCTGGTGTTACTGACAACACAAACAACTGAAGGAATTAGGCTGCTAATTAACACCACAATTTATGTTGCACAGGATAAAACCACTCAATAAAAGCATGTATGGGTGGGGTAAGAATGTGCATAACAAAGTTTAATATTACATTTAATTTATAAGAACTGCTATTGTTTTGCTCAGAACTGACAAAATAGTTTTCTGTTAGTTCTCTATTATCAATAAGAATATTTTAACTTCTAAAGTGCACAAATATAAGTCACAGAAACTAACATCATCTGCCCTTTTTCCCCTCTCAATGGAGTACAGGTCCACAACCAACTCACACCATTCCTTATATCCTTTGCTGTCGCAAGCAGTTCATCCCAAAACCCACATACACAAAATATGTTATAAAGAATAAGACAACTTTGCACAAAAGGTTGCAGTCCCAGAACAAAATTTGCTTAACATATATTTCTATTATGTTTTAAAGATCAACTGGAGCCAAGCAATACTTTTAATTTACTTACTAGTGGATGGGGCGGCCTATGTGCAGGTGTGACTGACAACTTAGGCCAACAAATGGAGCCAGGCTGTTAATTAACACCAGATTTGATGTTGCACAAGTCAAAACCACTCACTGAACATATCAAGGAGTGGGGTAAGAATGTGCACTCACATAAACAAACCAAAAGTCACAGATTTAAAAAAAAAAAAAAGGGTTGGAAAGCAAAATGTATATATAAAAGATCCCCCCAACCCCATTTTACCACAGTAAATGTATGATTTAAACTAACATTCACCTACCTTTATTAATACAAGTCTCCAAATAAACTAACATTCACCTACCTTTATTAATACAAGTCTCCAAAAGGAAAGTACATTTTTCATATCTATCAGGCTGCCTTTGCAAAAACAACCAAAAATATTCAACAAACAAATAAAACTCACCTTATATCTATCTGCTATAGGCAATCTAACAGCTGCTTCAAGAGCTCTGCTAATTGGAGGCAAAGAATCCAGGTACTCTAAGAGTGATGGTCCCCTGGAACACACAGAATACCTCTCATTCACACAATTCTCACCTAGTAATTGTAAAACTTTCATGAGCTTAGCTCATGCCAATATATTTTTTTTTTCTTTTTAAATTTTCACACAAGTCAAAAAAATATCTGAGTACATCTAAAATTCAGTAAAATTCTTAGAATACCGTGGACCAAGAAGAAGAAAAATATAGACATTTCATGATCTGAACACTGTCAGGGGTATTGTGGCCCCGTCAAGCGCCCTCACAGCCTGGATATAATGGTGATGAAAGGTGCAGTTTCCCGACAATGAGACAGAGCCCAGCCTTTTTGAATGTGGATAAAGATCTGGAGAGCTGGATAGAGAAAAAGCACTGAGCACGCATGGGAATGCCCAATGTGCAGTGACGTCGATTGTGATAACATGAAAAAACAACATCTTGTAGGGAGTCGGCAGTCTAAAACCCAAGTTCAAGGTGTCTCCTTCGTGCCAAAGAACTGCATGGCTGTTGGGTGCAGTCGTTAACGAAGGCAGTCAGGTCGTTACAGGGGCGACGCTTGCTGGTGGATGTAATGTCCTAAGCCCCTTCCCCAGCTAAAAGTGAGGGTACTGCTAGGGTGACCGTTTATTTACCGTCAAAAAATGCTTCAGTCAAAATGGACGATAGGCACGGCCACTTTCCATAGCAGGGGCAAATTTTATTTTTTGCTTTTGCCAGACGGTGGCCCTTGCATTTCTGCTCCATTTGTAGACTAGAAGGATATAGTTTCGCTGCCCAGCTTCAAAGTTGAGTGCATCGCGTAACACTGCTAGCTGCAAATTTCACTTGAACTGTGATAAACCTTTCTTTGTTGGCACAGGAGCCGAGCAACTATGGGTGGACCGTTTGCTATGAAGCTGGAAAAAAAAAGATTACCAGAGAAAGAGCGAAATTTAAGACAGGTGGTGGGAATAATATGTTTAAAAAAAAAAAAGCTTGTATAATGCAAATGTATCCAAACATACCTGTACCAGGGACAAAGTGATTCTTCTGGAACTATGGTAAGGAAAGCACCTGAGAGACCCGAGCAAGGCATGAAATATAAGTCTGTTTTGGGATTGAAGCCACATTTCTTCAGATATGGAAGCAATTTCTCTCTGCATTCATTGAACCTAGACAGATGACAAAACACATATCTTTTTGTATAACCATGATGATACCGACCGACTGAATATGAACAAAAACAATCAAGGTACCGAGATCAAAACCCACTGCTGGCTGCGTGGATTATTATGGTATGGGGCGTCGCAGGTCGACGCAGCCTAAAATGGGTACCAGGATGGCTGTCCTGGGGAAGTAAAGATGACGGGAAAAGGGATCTTTACTTTTACTTACATAACCCCCCCCACCCCCTTAGAGTTTGCTATGCTGAAATCAGATTTGCTGGACCATAAGTTGCAGCCTGTCACACCCTAACAGAAGTGGAAAGTCAACTTTACACAACTATCACTCATGAATGAGCTCTTGTAAAGTTAAACTTTTCACAATCCTCACATATAAACACACTGTATGAGTTTAAAGTAGTTGCACATGATATATTAAAATTAATTACATTATGCTGTTATTTAAATAGCTATGTCCAGATGTGACTGACAGCTTAGACCAACAAACAGAGCCAGGCTGTTAATTAACACCAGATTTAATGTTGCACAAGTCAAAACCACTCTTTGAAAACACCAAGGAGTGGGGTAAGGATGTGCAGGAAAAACCCCAGGTAAAGCTTCACAAAACTAAAAATCCATATTCTCCCCAAAAAAATGTTTTAAACGTTTCCTACTGTGAATGTTAGGGTTCCATTTTGATTGGCAAACACAATAAAATAGAAAACTAGCGCTAGACCAGCGATCCTCAACCTATGAGTCACGACCCTCTTTTGGACTGTACAGGGGGTCGCAAATGACCATCAGGAAACACATATTCATTGAAGTTATGAAGGAGCAACAAGAATAATTGTATGGTTGGAGATTGCCACAACATGAAAAATTGTATTAAAGGGTGAGAACCAGTGTCCTAGACAGATATCAAAGGTAACTGGCTTTATTTATTCCTTAACTTTTTAAAGCTACCACATGGACTACTATTTTGAGATTTACAACTGTGTGTTAATGATGTACAGAGCTTGCACACAAATCCACCCTTTTCACCTTATCCAAGACTAGGTATCTGATCTCCTCAGGAGAATAGGTGGATCTTTGATTTAAAGCCGCCAATGATTTTTGTAAAGTGATTATCATGTGTACCAAGACATGTGAGACCCCACTTCTCAAAGACTAACATTAAATAAAAGAAGCATTCAAAGCCCTTGGCTACATAATCCTTGTTATTTTAAAGAAGCCATTATAAATGTAAAGTTTTCCATGAGCAAAGTAAACACCAAATTTGATGCTGCACAAGTCAAAACCACTCCTTGAAAATAGAAGGGTAAGTATGTGTGGGATGAAACAGATAGTTAATCCACATTTCCCAATATTCAATACATTTTATGAGGCAAAATGTACAAAGGTATAATACTCTCTTTCAATATTTAATTTTTAAACTGCTTACAGATAAAGTGGTATTTTTTTTTATAAATATATATAAACATGGGGGTTCCAACCATCAAGGGTCAGTGTATTCAACTCCAACCTGTAAATTTTACTCCCTCTGGACACAAAGGAAGCTCTATCCACACAAAAATTATTCTTTCCACAATATTTTTTCCAGAGAGTAGAGTAGGAGTGGGGTAGGTGCCTCCAGGAACAAATAATTGTAACAAACAGCTATAGATTTTTTATACACGCTTGCACAGATCCACATCATTTTCATCTTATTTTTGCAAGATTAGGTATCTCCAACTGTGTGTGACCCTATTCTTTAAGTGTTTAAATGTCCAGGTGTAACTGATCAACAAATGGAGCCAGGCTGCTAATTAACACCAGATTTGATGTTGCACAAGTCAAAACCACTCACTGAAAATCTTTAGGAGTGGGGTAAGGGTGTGCATGATACAACATAAATCACAAGTAACCTCAAATTTCTTTTCCGGCGATAACCTTTATAGGTGTAGTTGGCACACTGTGTTGTAGTTTACATATAAACTAGAATCTACTTATGACTCAACATATCCAATTACAGCAAACTTTTGTAGTCTTTTGTTAGTGAGTCAAAACACTCCCCTCCCCATTCCCTATTGGTGAACAGTGAACATCCCATCTCACAAAAATACTTTGAATACAGAACTTATAAACTGTTAACAACTAACAGTTCTACATTCCGAGGACCACAAAAGACTTACGCATGTCAGTGTGTTTAACTTTATGACAAATTTACTTCTCCTAGACAGGTATTAAAGGTGACTGGCTCCATCTACCTAGTCTTCTTCTTGTGTTCGCTTTCTGATTTACACAAACAGACAAGTTTGTATGGTGAAGTTAACTGTTTTTAGGAGATCCCATTCAAGTCCCATACAACTCTGAGTGCAGTGCTAAGTGGGCTAGTATTCCCTGACATCCTGTGTTCTAATGACTTAGCCATGGAGGTGGCCCAGTGGACTACTGTGACTCTCAACTACCAGTGAATATTTACTACCAACTACTATTTGCGATTCCTTTTCTGCATTCATACATTTCTGTCCATTTACAAAATGGCTGCATACTGGAACCTTTCAGCCGATACCTGATTCAAGAACTATGTTTCAGCCAGGCATCTGAATAACTACCCAAAATATCAGATGCAGGTTAGACACTAGATATGGATGGTTTCTGTAAACTGACTACTTTTGTGTACTATGAGAGTTATGTATTACAGTATTATGTTCTGGTGTGACATACAGCTCAGACCAACAAACAGCCTGACTGCTAAAAAACACCAGATTTAATGTTGCACAAGTCAAAACCACTGACTGTAACTATGTAGGAGTGGGGTAAGAATGTGCTGGATAAAACCACAAGTAACAGCTTTACATTACAAGACAAGTCAATACACTTTTCTTACGATTAGCAAAATGTTTCATGAGCCACACAGAAAATGATAAATCCTATTTCATCTGCAATCACCACCCTTAAAAGTGTTATTTAGAAATGTATGTAATGGTTTACTGCTAATCAGCGATGTCTATTTATGGCCTAACACACATCTAACTGCCAGAGATTCCTATAGCTTTTGAGAGTCGGCCCAACCTCCCCCTTCCCATTAAAGACCTAAAAACACACATGGGGAATATCTTTAAACACAGGACTTTCAGTGACTTATACAATTGTATAAAAAGTTTTTGTTCTGAAGGGAGTGCTAAGCATGTCAGGGGTCAGTATGTTCTACCCATGGGTACGTGTTCTAAAAACCACTCCCTGATAATATATCTAGGAGTGTGGTAAGGCTGTGCAGAAAAAAACCACAATAACAGCGTTAGAAAATGTAGATGTTCAACATGTTTAAAAAAACTGCAATGAAACCAATGGTAACGAACCTTGCCTCCTCCCACTCCACAGTAGGATCATCCATCTTGTTGATAAGCACCACCATGTGCCGAACCCCTGCTGTCTTTACCAACATAGCATGTTCTCTGGTTTGCCCTCCCCTCTCAAATCCGGTCTCAAACTCACCTCGCCGAGCAGAAATGACCTGCGAGCATTATTTCAACACACTCAGGCCAGATATACAAGTTCTCTTATGTACTGTAATTGAATATTTACTGTGATGTATTAAACTGATTATTTTAACTTCTTCAGCATTAGGAGCCCTTCAGGCTTATTGTTGCAGATATCACCCACCCTCATTCATCTCTTATGAATAGAATTTTCATTGTAGTTGATGACTCCAAATGTATGTAGGTCTACCTATATACTGAGGTGCGTACAAGATATTTGTGCTCTGTCAAAATCCTAATACATGCAGTTCTTTGACCACCAAAGGATACTACAGTAACAATGTTCGTACAAATTATATTTTTATTTGATGCATAACTTTGTCATTTTGGTATCAAATTCTACAAAATGCACAATTAATCCTCTTCTGCGTTCTACTTCAATTCTTCTGGTACCTTAAGAAGGTTTCAGAGGATGCCAATGAAGTGATATCTGTGACTAAAATTTACTACTTTTCAAATGTTAGTATAGCAGTAGCAGAAATACAGAAATCTAGAAATATATATATATTTACCAAACACAGAACAGTAAGAGGACATATAGGAAAGAGATTCAGAAATATTTTTAGAAGAGCAGTTAAGCCATGGTTTCGAGTTAGGCTAATATCTAAACCTTTCAGCTGAACAAATTAAATTTCCGTAATTACTTGTCTGATTTTAGGACATGCTTACCACAAGGCAAGTGAGTATATCCCCCTAACACAACACCCCCCCCCCCCCCCCTAAGGCTCTAGATCACAGAGGTAAAATTAGCTTGTATGAATCCATATCACAAAAACAAAGAAGCCACAAATTTTCCAGGTAACATACATACCAGTATGGCTAAATCTGCTTGAGAGGCTCCACAAATCATATTTGGAACAAAGCTTTTGTGTCCTGGTGCGTCCAGCACAGAATAGTGTTTCTTTTCAGATTCAAAATAGGCACGGCCCACCTCAACTGTCTTGCCTTTTTCACGTTCTTCAAGGTTTGTGTCCAGTGCCCACGACAAATACCTGGAATACACACAGAAGGATATTTGGCGGCAAGTTCTCGTTGAGCGTCTGCTTGATTTACAAATGTTGCAACTTCGGAGGAGGAACCCCTAATTAGTAGCTTTTTAATACATGCTCGCAAGGGAGGCTGTGTATCTACTCCCTCACCTCCTTAAATGTAGCCCTGGAACCCCATAACTAAATGCCACCTAAATTAAACCCACAAACCACCTTAGTGCTAGGCAAACAGCACGTCCTTAAGATGTTAAGACATCCAGGGAAAGTAATATGTGTATCTTTTACAGGATAGTGTAGAACTAATTTCAAAATTTTCTAGCTAATTTTTTCGTTTCGCTAAGTTTACATTCAGTAGTTCCGTCCTGAATAGGATTGAGCAGCTACCATTGTCGAATTCAATGCAAAGTTGTCTGCCGCATAACAGCCTGCAGCTGAATCAAACCATTTATTTCTGAATCACAAAAACACAGACTCCCTAGGACCAGTAAGTCAAACAGAATCATATTTACACACTTCTAATAAAAAATGATGACAGAACCCTGTCTGGGACATGCAGAAGTGCAGGGGAAAGAGCCAATTTTCTGGTTATGAAAACGATAGCTACGGGAACACTCAAACCAGAAAAGGGAGACATTCTGGTACATGTATTCTGCTTACAACACAAGGTTAGATAAAACAGCGTTGTTAGTGTGGAATAAAGAGTGGATGGAGAAAAAAAGTTCCACATGAGTACGTATAATCAGGGTGTGGAGCATCTGTGGGTATGACTGGTGTGTTATATCGGTTCCTAAATCCGTAATTTAATGGTTAAGTTTAAATGTAAAATACCAAGAACAGATTTATACTGTAATAGAAATGTCCCAATAGCAATATGTAACCAATGAGGACGCACAACAGCTTACCAAGATTCTCTGTTCTTTTCTTTGGCTTCTCTTTCATATTTTTCAAGAGTTCTTTTGTCAACCATACCAGTCAGATATCTGTCAAGAACAAAGTTCAGATGCATATTAAATGAAGATCAAACATTAACTGCATATCATGTGCCTTTTCACACACACACCTGCTCATCTTATGTCTATCTACTGGTCAACCAAATGATGATGCTAATTAGATAGTTAAATAACTACTACTACATCAGCTTGTCCATTGTTAATGTTTATATTATTTAACAAATACATATACACACACACTTAATCTACTGACAAATAATATAGCTTCACGGATTCTTCTTCTTCGTCTGCGTTCATCCGAAGATGTAATTGCATTATCATTCACAGCATGGCTGCAATATTTGCACCTTTCGGCCACCACATCTGAATTCTGCGGGCATTTGTTGACTAGGTTAGCCTTCCCGGTTGCTCAAAGGAATTCACAATTTTTATTTAAAAAAAAGGTGACCAGTGTTTTTGGCCACATATGAAATTCTGGCAGTAAAAACAGGATAAATAATGTTCACGTTCTCTTTTTGTGGGTTCTATAGGCCATTTGATGTGGTGAGGGAGGGGGAGGGGGGTGATGGGCGAGAACCAAACTCACTGCCCCCAACATAGGTCACAACTAATAGGAGTTCACTGAAACTGGATGTGTTGGCCAAACCTCATAAATAGTGCAGCTCAGCTGTAAACAACTATACAACTACCCTTTTCAAGATCAGGGAGAAAATGTTCGTGTCTATGATGGTTTTCTAGTTTCACTGAGAGGGTCAAGCTGTAGTCAAATATTTCAGCTGAATGTATAAAATAATACAGATAATACACACCTGCATTAGAATACTGGCTATATTCAAAGGCATTTATTTTTTATTCAAAGACATTGAATATTCTACTCACAACAAGTGTCCTCCAATAGTAGATTTTCCTGCATCTGTAAAAATAATTTTAATGTCAAATATTAATTAAAAGTAGTAGTAAGCACCGAGTTTACTCTGATAATGGGCCAACTACGCTAGGTTTTCAGAAAACAAACTTGGAGAATGCACTGTTCATCACCAACACATTTTACTAGAATTAAAGTAAAACTAAAAAAAATTTTTCACACCTTCAGGTGTACTAAGCATATATGGCTAGATCTAGATTTTACAGACCAATCGTCGCTCGACGGGCAATGTGGTCAACAACATGCTGGCTGCCTTTACTTCCTATGACTTTGCCTGATACTCATTCCAGGCTAGATCAACATGGAAGCCAGGCTAAAAAAAAAAACTGAACTCAGGACCTTCAGATTCGAAGGTGAGTGTCTAGCCACCACACAATGGCAGCTTTCACTGTTTGATACTGAAGATGATGATGGTGGGTATGCCTAGAGTGTACCGGTTATTGCTTAACGTTTCCGTCTATCACCATTGTTGTGAATTAAATTTACTAAATTGCAAATAAGGTACAGAAATGAATGTAAATGTGTATAAACACTAGATGATGATATAAACACTATAAACACTGCACAGTCGAGTCCACTTAAGTCGAACTTGGGTAAGTCCAATTTCAGTTAAGTCTACATAGCCAGCTAAGCCCTGGCACTTTACTGTCTGGATAAGTAGAGGTCCTGATAAGTGGAAACATTTTCTTAGGTCCCTGCAACTTCTACAGACTCACCTATAATTTAAAGTTAGCATATCTTAAAGCATGATTTGAAAACAATACATTAAGGAAATGAGCAACAAAAAAAACAAAACAAAAACTAAATCATTCATTAGAATAGCAAGTGTTCCACATATATTTTTGTCCAGACCTTCTATAGCAGATTTTAGAAACATTGATCCTTAAGGACGATATTGACTTACCAACGTGTCCAATAAACACCACATTCAAATGTTCCTTTCTAACTTTGGGTACACCGGGCTTCTTTGGCTTTTTAGGTATAATGGCTTCTGGATCAATCTCATCTTCATCTTCAATCATACCCTCATCCTCCTCCCAATCATCAGCTGGGAAAAAAATCAAATACCAAATCAATGTAAACATCACAGCATTCTTTTGTATTTCGATTTGAATTTTGTAATAGCAAAATTTTAAACATGCTTGTGCCAATATTCTGAACAAATTTGAAAAACAAAACTTTTTTTAATATCCATTACATTATTTCCAATGTTGGTTCCAGGGAAAACATGAATAGACCCATTGCTCCCCTAACAAGTGTGCTGTGGGAGCTGACTAACTGGGGACGCATTCAAAGTCAAAGTGCATCTGCCTGAGCAACAAGGAACAAACAACTGCACAAACAAAAAGCCAGTAAAACGGGATGTCGACGCAAAATTCAGACCCTGGCACAAAGTCTAAAACCAAATGGATGAACAAACAGGACTTTCTGCGGCACCTTATAGTAGGTGAACGAAGAAGAAGAAATATATTCATTTTAACATTAAAAAATTATGTGATGTTCTGTGTCTGTTTACAGCAAAACTGCAATATTTGCACCTTTCAGGGAAGAGATCCTATTTGTTTTAAGCACACTATCTGATAAGCCTTCTAATATTAGGTTTTGTGAGGCAGCACAGCTCAGCAGGCTTGGCTAGAAATTCGACATGTTGATCAGCTCTCAATGGAAAGCATGGGCATTCCCAATGATCCATGGAGGACGTCCTTAATTCAGCTCTGGCAAACGGGGCTCACCCAAGGTCCTTATCACATCCTGCACACAACTGCTTCCCCTCAGTTCCATATACTCCAATATGCCTTGCCGGAGAAACATAATGACTCAATTACCTATTTATAACTTGCCCTTGCTGTATGGTATCTAAGACAAACTGTCTTATTCAGTTTCACATTCTTTACACAACTCTTGGCTGAGTAGCGTGAGCAATGGCTGTCCTCCACTTCGACCAGATCTACACAAAAAATAGTATACCTGTCTTTTGGTCTAAGAATGGTATTTATAGTTTTATCTTCATGCAGACTAAGGTTTCTACAGGCTTTAGCATTTAAGTAACCTATGTACAAATGTCCCATAATGCATGAGACAACAGCTTATGCAACTGAGTTGACTAAGTAGTCTGCAATGAACTAGCTGGTAAAAAATTACAGCCACTAGAAGATAGTAATCTAGAACTGTTACCCTGTCCTTTTGGTGTTCCTTAAAATAAATTCATGCTTTTCTATTTGTATTTGTAAAATGGAGCTGTATTGTTATTTTTGCAATATTTTTTATATTGTGTAACATAATAAAACCCCCTCAACCTCTCCCATATTTTCCAATAAAATATGTGATCTCTACTTACCAATATCACCATTGCCTTCTTCTGTATTACCAACTGGACTTCCTTCTGTTAAAGGGGTAAAAATATTTTATTACTGCATTTGCCATTTTTTTTAAAGGGCACAAGTTTACTTGTGACTAACAAAAGATCATATTTATATACCGAAGAGACAGCTAATAATAATGAACGTACTAGTGTAATTAATCTGCATCATGAACAAAGTTACATACCTTGATTTCTTGAACATAAATTTGAAAATATTTTTAAAACTATTCTAAAGAACTATATCAAATCACTCCCTGAAGAAAATTGCTTCAGATAATATTTTCACCATATCATTTGTAAGACAGGGATAACTATGTATCATCATTTCATAGCATCGGGAACACTAATATACTTTCAGAATCCTCTAAAAAGATCTCTAATTTAGCAGTTACAGGGGCAATAAGAGCTGTACACCCAGGTGGAAAGTTCTAGCCGTCATCCACTTTTTGACTTTTATCTTGATCCACAACCTGAGTTTTGCATGAACATCTGTTTTACAGATCTGGCTTATTTGTACAGGTGTTTGCAGACTGCCGATTCCTTGCCTCTATTATTAGTGAAGGGTGGAGGTAAAGAAAGAGAAAAGTGTGATACTTTAGTGCGAAGCTCTGAGAGCACAGTAAGATTAAGCAATAATCAAATAGCATTACTTATTAAAAGAAGTAAACTCTAGCTCAAAAGAAAAGAATTATAAATTCTTATATCAAATGTAAGGCAGGGATTATTTACTATAGAATTGCACGGTGTGGAAGCATGAATAATGGTTTAAAATGACACCTTTGAACGATACCTAGCATTTACAGAGGAATAAGGGACATTGGCTGGCAGATGTGACTAAATAAAGTTACATCAGGTGGAGCGTGACAACTGAATACCACTACCAAATGATCTGTCTGATATATATATATATATATATATATATATATATATATATATATATATATATATATATATATATATATATATATATATATATATATATATATATATATATATACATACACACACACGCATCCTTATACATTGAACACGTAAAAAAAAGATCCCTTGGAAGTCGGAAATCAGAGTGCTACAGAGTTCGTGAACTGCACTGAGTCTTCGGACTCAGATTTGGGTGAAAAGTAGAACGGAGCGCTTATAGGTTACTACTCTTGTGCCATGACATTGATCTGCTGTTTTTAAACCTAAATCCTATATACCTATACAGACACACAAGAGAGCGATGAGGGAGGAGGGAGAAAGGGTGAATTCAAATGCTACAATATGTTTAGTGAGGATCAATAAAATTACACTAACGGATACCTTTAACCGTTAATATGTTCTACATCACTAACATAACACGTTCAGATCACATGTAAGACAGGGATAACTATATCTCATCATTTCACAGCGCAAAGGCATTAACAGTAGCACTGAAAACACACTATATAATGATTTTGCTCTACTTTAGAGAGAAAGGCTGGAGAGAGTATCAATATAAAATTACAATATCTTCATAATTAAAACAAAAAATAGAAAAATGAGACATTAACTTGATACTATTATTCAGTATAAAAAAAGTAAACTAGTTCACGGAAAGAGAAACTTTGCTCAGAGTATATTCTCCCCATATCAAATGTAAGACAGGGATAACTAAATATATCATCATTGCATAGCATGGAATTACCAATAACGGCTGCTTAAAATGACATCTTTTATTACTTTAATGAAGATCACTACTGCACTTATAAAGCCAATAAGAGACACTAGCTTGTAGATAGAGAAAAAAACTGGGTGGGGTTGGTTTAAAGTATGTGGAAGCTCCATAACATGATTACACCAGGGGAAGTGTAACAACTAAATACCACCATAGGATAATCTAAATTAAATCTTTCTGAGAAGCCAACTCTGGCTGGCACAATGGTTAGAGCACTGAGCTCTTATTTGAAAATTTCAGGTTTAAATCCTTGGTATGGTTTTGGATTGTTACCTGTCAGGGGCAACCACACAAAAATCCAGCCTGAACAGTCCATAGAAACAACACTAGTTAGTTGGCCCTAAATCCCCAGGCTCAGACTTCTCCCACTACAACAATTATGTAAAAGTAATAAATACAAGCAGTAATAGCACTTAAAAAAAAATACGAGTGTGTAAAAAGAAGTTTCAGATTATACTTTCACCATATCAAATGTAAGACAGGGATAACTATATATCATCATTTCAAAGCATGAGAGTGCCAATACTGGTAGCTGTATAGACAATGATAATTATGGTTTACTACAGCTGGTGTCACTATAGTCTAGCGGCTAGACACTTGCTTACAGGTCAAAAGGTCACAGGTTCAAATCTGAATAGAACCAAAAAAAATAACCTTGCCCTGGCTTCCAGGTTGACCCAGCTTTGAGTAAGTGCCAGGTAATGTCCTGATAAGTAAAGATGGCTGGAGTGATGCCAACCACATCAGCCACGAGTAATGCTCGGTCTATATAATATGTCTAGCCCTATATGCAAAATATGCCTGTGGGCGTGAAAATAGGTACTTTTCTTTTCTGTTTGTATAAATCCAATATGTGACTGCTTGACTAAACTATAAAAAAAAAAGGAGGAGAGAGAGACATAAGATGGAATGAGATCAGTTAGAGGTGAAAGGACAAGGGCTGAAATAAAAAAGTGCATGTTTATACCAGGAAGACAAAACTATAGAGGGATCAGTAGCTATAGTGCAGAGCTATTTAACTGGTGGTCGGCGGAGGCCTAAGATTCGCCCACTAATCACCTGCCAGCTGAATTATATTAAGGATCTTTCTATGCTGGGACTGGGCATATGGCCCGTGACGATTCCTTTTTTCAAAATTTTCACCACTGACGAAACAAATAGCCCTGCCATAGTACCTAGAGACTAAAAAGTTGTTCTGGTGCTTTGGCGCCTGAAATTGTTTATTTGGGACTTGAATTACAGTTTGAAATACAAATTCATTCTCAGCCTATATGTGCAACAACCACAATTTGCTAGCTGAGAAATGGGGATTAATTTCCTTTTTAGACTGTGTGTATACAAAAGAGGGGGAAAGAGGGAGACATAATTAATTCAAATGCTACAACTGTTGAGTCTAAGAAGGCTCAATAAGATTAAAGAGAAGAAGAGGTTCCCATCAATAATTAAAAAAAATAATATTACATCACCTATATAAGAAAATTGCTTGTTCAGATCATACTTTCTCCATATCATGTGTAAGACAGGGATAACTATGTATCATCATTTCACAGTATAACAGCCCTATTAACAGTAGCATTAGAAACACATATTTTAATGATAACTTACAGAATCAATACCTTTGTGCATGAGATAATGGTGGGACTGAGTTTAAGGCTACTACATAAAATTACCTACGGTATAAATGGAACAATTTTAGATTGTGTTAGGGCTATTTATAGACAGTGAAAGCGCCATTAGAACAAGAGCTGGCATCACAGACTGGTTCCCAGTAACACCAGGAGTAAGACAAGGTTGTGTATTATCACCTTTACTTTTCATAATATTTATGGTTAATATTAATAAAATAGACATAACCCCAACAGATGTCGATAAACAGGAGGACTTCAATGAGCTGCTCTTTGCCGACGATCAATGCCTATTTCACAGTGATAGTAAACAGCTGCAAGACCACATAAACCTACTACACGACAGTTGCCTCAAGCATCATATGAAGATCAATACTGAAAAGACAGAAGTCATGAGCATAAGCAGAGAGCAACAGACCATCGACATAAAGATTCTAGATCACAGCCTAAAACAAGTGCAAGAATTTAAATACTTGGGAAGTATCTTTACATTCAATGGTAAAATAGACAAAGAGATCGAAGCAAGAATCCAACAAGCCAACAATGTCGCATACCAGCTTGCCAATTTTAAAACACCCTGCTGTCCCAGCTGAGATAAAAAGGCAAATTATAAATACAATCTTTATACCGACATTAGGTTATCAATGTCAGACTTGGACATTAACAAAAGAACACGAGAGAAGACTAACCACCTGTGAAATGAGATGTTTGAGAATGGCTGCGAATAAAACCAGAAGAGCTCGAGTGAGAAACGATGTGATTACAAGAACTATTGGAACCATACCCATCATTAAATTTATTGAGAAGCAAAGAATGAAATGGTTTGGTCACCTAATGAGAATGGAACCAACGATACCAGCATCAAGAGCATACAACATGAAAATCGAAACACCAAGAGGCAGGGGAAGACCAAGAAGAAGATGGATTGAAGGAGTCACGGACAACTTGAGACTTCATAACATCACGGCATATGAAGCAACTGAGCGCACCCTGGCTCGGTTGCCGATCATCTGATAGACTGCGATGCCTAGCGGCACAAGCAGATTTTGACAAAAGAAAGAAAAAGAAGACATAAAATTACACTACCTTCACCAAAATAGAATTAACTGAAATCAATTATCTAATATAAACATGGAACAATAAACTTTGCTCAGATTATATTCTCCCCATATCAAATGTAGGACAGGGATAACTAAATATCATCACTGCAAGGCATGTAAACACTAATAACGGCTGCTTAAACGACATTTTAAAAAAGACCACTTGTAAAGCTACTAAGAGATACTAGTTTGTAGATGGAGGAAGATGTGGCAAAGAGAGGCAAAAGTAAAATACAGGAAATAGTAGTTTTTCTTTAAATATTTTGAGAAGTAAATATAACACTCAATGTGTCAGTTCCAGGGCCCTGTTATAGGAAAAACAAGAACAGACACACTGCCTACCTCAAAGCATGTCGCTAAAGTCGACTAATTGTGAGCTTTCTTCAAAGTCGGAGTGCATCTGTCTGACAGACAAGGAACCAAGTCCTCTTAAAAATTAGATCTGACAAACGGTTACACATGCAACACACAAGTTTACAGCCGGTAAATGCAAAGTGGAGGAAGTAACACATTTCAGATTATACTTTCCCCATATCAATTGTAAGACAGGGATAACTATATATCATCATTTCATAGCATGAGAGTGCTCACGTTTGTAGCTGTATAAATGATGCTTCTGAAAGATAATTATGGTGTACTATACAGGTATAAAAAGCAATGAATAAGTACTGGATGTAAATTTGCCTTAAGAAACCACACAACAGCCAGGGGCTGCTGGGGCTGGTTCTGCAACGTCCTGTAAAAGATACGCAAATAACCTATACATGTATAAATGCAATATGAGATTGCTTGATTAGTCAACTAAAAAGGAGACGTTAAGGAAGGAGACCGGTTAGATGTGAAAAGTAAAAAGAAAGAGGTACATCTCTATCTCTTTCTCTGTGCGCGTGCGTACGCGTGTATTAAACAGTTTCTAGAGGCCTAAAAATATTTCCTGGCAGCCATCGTGCCTGAGAATTTGCATAGGGCACTTAAATTATGTACCTTTATCTTGGTTAATACAAGCCCATACTTACCTAAAACATAAAATCAATGTGTTTGTAAAAAAAAAAGAAACCTGCAAAAAATGACTCCTCCCAAATGATGATGTATAGACGGATTAAATTTACAAGTATCGTTTTGGCTAGAATCTTCACAGCAGTCATATTTGCAACCACGGCTTCGGCATATTTTAATTACTCAAAGTCACATTTCAGTGGAGTTATATCCACTACAAACTACCATTGGGCTAATATTTTATAAACAGCAGGCTCAGGGGTAATCACTCTGTCAGGGCCTTGGCACATTTAGTTAACGTATGGCTAAAGAATATGATTTTAAAACAGAAGATTTTCTTGAACTCTACAGCATATTGTATGGTATGATATTCTATTGTCAGGTGTTAGGATAAATTTAGTAGTAAAATTAATCAGAATGATTGTGGTTTGCTTTACTTTATTCTGGGCGATGACAGGAAATTGTGTACAATGCTAGCCAAGAACATAAAATAGCTCTTATTTCTGGATTTATCTACAAGAGCATGTGTATTTGCACACACAAAAAAAGGATCAGGGTTATCTATATATATAAAAGACAACTACATGGCAGCATGTTAATATAACTTCTAAATGACTATATTATTTTATTCAGCTAAGAAAATTAGAATATGTTCAGATAGTATTTTCTCCATATCAAATGTAAGACAGGGATAACTATATCATCATTTCACAGCATAACAACAGCATTAAGAATATATGATTTAACAAAATCTCTAGTTCTGAATTTACAGATGCGATAATGGTGTCAAATTTATCCTGGGTGCAGGGAAAGGGAAAAACAGAGAGAAAATAGGGAACAGAGTATAATGCTATTTCCTAAAATTACAACATCTTCACCAGATCGGCATTATATGATAACTGGACACCATTATACAAGTAATCTATTTCATAGCGATAAACTTTTCTCAGGTTTCATTCTACCCACTGCAAATGTAGGACAAAAGTAACTAAATATATCACTACTGCATGGCAAGGAAATACCAATAAAAAGTGCTTTGAATGACGCTTTCTGATGAATTACCCTAGCAGAAACCAAAAAAAGACTGGCTGGCAGAAAGAAAGAAAGAAAGAGAGAGAGAGAAAGAGAGAGAGAGAGAAAGAGATAGCGGGGGGTGGGTGGGGGAACAAATCATATGCATGATTAACACCGACTGAGACATACAGAGATAGACATATAATTAACTTTTAAATGCTATAGAGACAGCAAGTTTATTCTGTGGCTACTAACAAGAATTTTAAAAATGTATATATAACACTTGTAATAATAGATCATCATAAAGTGCCTTGTTAAATAGCGTAGGCAATCAGGCCTCTCCATAATCTGCGATCATCAAAAGCATTATCAGTTCATGTGTTGACATCCCTCCAAGCCATGATAAAAAAAAGCTGCCAAGAATAGTCCAGCGTTTTCCTCCATTTCTTTATCCATAGATCTTTTCAGTGGAATAATGGATACCAATACCAAATATTCAGTGAAGATGAAACAAAAATGTCCATATTCTGAACCCAGCTAAATCAAAGGCCATGCATATCTGACAATATAATTATTATAATATTCTACAAATAAACAAACAAAAAGATGTTTCATCTGACTACTACTACTTCGCATTCACCAGCTGTAAACTCCTGCGGAAAATTCTGGTTGTTTGTCCACCTATGGACTGTAGTCCTGTTCCAAAACATGAGTGTTGTGCGTGCATCCGTTTCACAGATCTGACTAATTTTTATGCAGACTGTTGGTTCCTTGCCTCTCAGGCAGGTGCACTCTGACTTTAAAGAAAACTTCCACTTACGACATGCTTTTTTCGGGTGGGCAGTGGGTCTGTTCTAAGTTTTCCCCTTTAATAGGGCCTTAGGACCCACACAGGGACTTCATCTAACAATAAAATTAATGTTTAACAATCCACATAAACGAGATGTTACACATATGATAGTAGTCACCTGTATCAAATGTTTCCATGGTTTCTTTATGGCTCTCCACACGTGGAGCCTCTTCTGTGTTTGGCTGTGGTTCAGCTTCTATTTCTAAAAAAAAAAAAATTTTAATGAAATTTCTACTTTATTATCTTTGGGAACAAAGTTTTAGAGAACAGCCACGGGGGCCACATTAGCGCAGTCGATAAGAGGGAGGCTCGCTTTCAAATCTAGCTGCGACTCGCTGCAGCCCACGGTTGGTGTTTGAAACGGGGCTGTTCCCGGGGTTCACTCAGCCTTTAGGAAATGGGTACCAGTGTTGACACTCTGAGGTAAATGGAGGAACGTCGCTGCAGCTAGAGTTACGTGCGAACGGCGACACAGGCGGACAATTCTCATCAGCTGTCCGTACTGGTGGCAGAGAAATGATGGTTTATAACCATGTGCAATAATGCTGGTTCACATCTCCCGACTTTACCTTGTTTAGAGAACAGCAGTAGTTCTCTCTCGTATGGATTATGTTTCTGATAAATATCAAACCTGCAGAGTAATGGTGGCACTGCTGTTTTCTTCACCAGTTTAATCTGCAAGGATGTTTACAACTAGCTGCTTTTCTACAATAATGCAGATGTAAATCACAACTTGTGGCGGCATAAAACAGTAACCCTGACATTACTACCTGTATTTAGTGGTGGAGGCAGGAAAGAGCATGAGCCTAAAAATTTAGTTAGGGCGATATGGCTAGTGCTGTTACCACGAACTGTGCAGGAAGGATATCCCCCTCCCCAACTTTTACTGAGGATTTGAACCCTGGTCTCCCAACTGACAGCCCAGTCCTTCAAGCATGTGGCCAACTGCTTCTCGGCTAGGTCACCCTGCTTCTATTTTATTCTTGCTACAGAGCTAGCCACAAAATCAACTTTTTCATTCTTCCAGGGCATTTGACATGCTGTGCTGTGGTTTACAGCAAGACTGCCATATCAGTGCAACTATTTTAGCAAACTCCTAATTAGTTGACTTTTATGACATGAGTGTTAACTCACAGTATCAAACAGATCAACCTACATTACTTGGTAATTCCAAAGATATCTGCTGTCTTCTATTAGAAAGAAAGAACATTAACCCTTCCTATCTTTATTATTAGTTCTGTAGCTTCCATTGAACCAGTTCAATTATAAGTATTTACAGCTTTTAAGCACAACTCTTTTACATATGACGAGGTTAGCAAAGTAAAAGAAAAAAAAAGTTAATGGCCAGTGAGAATACCCCCCCCCCCCTTCCAACCCTAAATTAGGCCCACACTAGAGACAATCATATTTTAAAGCTATACAGTTTTTGGCTCTCCTTGCAATAACGGTCGCTATTTGGTCGGCGGCCGCCGCTTAGTCGGAGTTCAGTCCCCTGGCTGCAGTGCAATTACGGAGTGGAAAAGAGGGAACGACACAAATGACATGATTAGGGCTAGGGTTTGGCTAATGTGAGTCGCAGCGCGTGGTCTAGACGCCATGTTAAACTCACTGTGTTTTGTGATTCGTGCCTTGTCCACTCCGTAATTCACTAATTGCACTGCAGCCTGGGGACTGAACTCCGACGAAGCGACCGTCGCTGTCCAAGTAGCGACCGTTATTGCAAGGAGAACCCACAGTTTTCTTTAGTGTGGGGTAGAAACAGCCATTAATTTTAATTTTTCAAAGTAGAGGCGTAACAGAAACAAAATGGGCTATCTACCGAATAATGGTCCCAAATTATCAAGGCAGAAAATATACCCAAACAGGGCCTCAGTCACATGTCAACTCCAGATATCCTGCGACCTCAATTGCGCACTTACTGTGACTACCGCTATCTCCCATGTCGCTATGCGCTGCGTGGATTGGGGCTAAACTAGAAGGCTAGGACTCATGAGCAGCAGCTACCACATCTCCTGCAGCTTCCTTTATTTAATTAGCTCGTGAGTCCCAGTCATCTAGTTTAGCCCGAATCCACGTCACATGCTGCGGCATGGGAGATACTCTCGGCGGTGGTGAAAGTCCACAACTGACACGTAACTGAGGCCCTGTTAGGGTATATTTTTTCGGCCACTATAATTTGTTACTGTTATTCGGTAGACAGCCACAAAATGGCTGCCCTAAGACTAAGAAGAATAAAATTACAGCCATCTTCAAGATCCTGTTTTTATGTTTCATTTGGGAGGCGGTTGTGTTTACAATTCATTTTGATTTTATTTATCCAAAAAAATAAGTCAACAAACCAATAACAATGACTACATCGTTTGGTATAATTTAAACTTAACCCCCTGCTTACAGTTTAAGTTACAGACTAACAGGTTTTCAACTGCAATTTCTAATGCAACCACTACAAAATTCACTTTCATGTTTTTGCTAGGCTATGACTATGCATGTGCCAGGGTAATATTTTATGTGGGTAGGTATTCTATTTCTGATTACCGTTTTCTATCTGTGTGTATAGTAAAAAAAAAACATATACATATGCACAAACATATATACACACATATATATACATACACACAGTGCTATCCAGAGTGATCTAGTAAAAAAAAAAATTTTTTAATTTGAAATCGGAGGTGGACTGTGTGTACCCACAAGTGTTTAGGATTCCTTGGCATACATATTACACATTCTTTTATGGAATCTCAATTTCAAAATCAGGTATTTGCTTGATTTTTTTTTTTCACTGAGCAACAGGTGATTCTTACTGTCACACTGAATCATTCATTGAAAAACCCGCTTCATTTACTGAATTTTACCAACTAAGTTTAGTGTGCCAAATCTCGTGTCAATATAAATAACTCAGTATAGTGTTTCAAGCTTTTTTTTTTTTTCAATTTTATAAAATATAAACTTTTATTACTTTTTTCATGACATTTTTACAAGGATGTAAAAATATATATATATAAATTGGTGCTACAATGTCAAATGAGAATTTTGTAAATGACAAATTTTAAAATAATAACGCATGATACCGAAAATAATGTGAAATTAAGTAATTGTAACTGAAAAGTTAATGATGACGCAGTGGACAAAAATAAAGCCATGAAACTCGACTACATGTACATGACATAGGTCTTTGTTACAAAGCTTAATAGAGAAGGCTTATGGGCAATAGACTGACTTCCTTGTGATGTTCGTTTTTCAGCAATTCCTCCACGATGTATTCAAACTAAATATACTTTATTTTATTCACACACGAATATATTTATTTTTACCTTTTTTATCTTCAAGGCCGTGATCTGTTTCTAAATCATTTGCTGACGGCGACGTCTCCGCGAAAGACGGTGTAAAAGTGGGGGCGAAAATGTTTTGACCTGGAGTAAACGCCGGTGCGTTAACATTTAGAGCAGAAAGTGTTGATGAGAGTTCTTGTACGTTGTCATTAGAACCTAAAGGATTATCATCCCAAGAATCTGGAACATTGTCTTGTCCAGTTTGGGACGCCATTTTGATGCGTGGTCCCTCTAAGTTTCCCTTCTGCCTCTCCAACACCGCGTGTAACACTGCTAGTGACGTCACGCCTCTCTTCGCATGCGCATCCGGAAGTCGAGTTCGAGAGAATATATTACTTACATTATTTATTTTATAAAAACTATTTGTACTACTTTTAACACATTTTTGTATACAAAATTGCCTGACGGGAAAAGGCAATTAATTATTTAACTGTATAAATAAATTTAAAAGTTAATAGTTGTGAAACAAACATGTCGGTGTACAACTCGTTCTTTAGTTGTTTCATTCTTTTACAATATCATAATTAATTAGTTAGTTGATTAGTTAATTTTATTTGAAGGAAGTTAAAGAATTTAAAAATCTTGGAAGTATATTCTAGGAGGACTGGAGAATGGATCAGGAAATTTAAAAAAAGATGGCAACGAACCATGTACTTATATACTAACTAACACCGTTATTGGGACATGAAACTTGAGTATGAGTGCCACGAAACATTATTAACAGCATTTTCATGCTAACACTGTGCTACCAGGTCCAGACTTGGACATTATCAAAGGATTACCTACTTAAAATTAACACCTATGAAAATAGATGCCTGATAAAAAATAAAACTGCCAACGTAACCCTCCGAGACAGAGTTAGAAATGATATCAGACTGGAAACAACACCTTGAAGCAACTTCATTGAATGTTGAATTAGGAATCGACATTACAGCACTCGGGACGCTCTCATAATCACACCGTCCCCGTTTTCGGCAGCAAGCGAAGATTTCGAATTCCCATGGTACAATAACAGTTTGACTGTATATCCGTCTCGCTTTTTCCTTGAGTGCTGAGCGTCGGCGAGATCCCCTGGTAACTCTACGCAGCGTCATTTTCCACAGACGTCATGATCTATTTGTTTCTCTGCACTATTCACTCGCCCCCAGAGGTCCCTCGCAGCATCTAGTTTGTCCTAAACCAATTCACCAGCAAGTGGTCCAGAACTGGCCAGTCTATCTGCCTGCTTATTTCCCAACACACCGGCATCACCTAGAGAAAATATCTAAAGAACACTAACTACTCAGGACCTCTGAAGCGATGCTTGCCACTCTGCACGGAGCATGCCTGTTTCCACCTTTCTCATTATGCTCTGTGAGTCAGTTACAATCACTTCATGTGTGTATAGCTGATTCTCAAGCCATAGGAAGGCAGCGGTGACTGCCTCCACCTCCATTCTCAAACTAGACGTTGTGATATCATATGCACGTCCCATGCACTTTGTCTAACTCTCAACACAGAGCCATCTTTATAGATAATCACATCACCTGGTCGGGAGTTGTCATGAATCATTTGTTGAGCTTTTGATTCTGCAGCACCAACGGTCTATTAAAAAATTATTTGAGAAATACAAGATCAAATGATATGGTCATCTAGTAAAAGTGCAGCCAGACCAACTACCAACGCAAGCGCTACACATGAAAAGATTTGAAGTAACACCAAAACGTCGTCTTAGTAGAATATAGATTGATGACATCAATCATCATCATCATCAGCTGCCTTGGCGACTGGCGTGGGCGATCATTCCTCTCCATAATCTGCGATCTCCTGCAGCATGTATCAGTTCGTGTGCCGACACATCTCCATGCCATGCAACAAGACTGTCAAGCAT